CGAGAGCTACAAATTTTTTCTTTCCACAACAAATTTACAACAAAAACACTACAATTAATGCCGTAGTTAACTTTTCCAATTTCGAAAAGTGTAGTGCTAACTTGACACACGTCACTGAGTGCTCTCTGAGCACATGCGTGTTTCACACCTATACGAAGAACGCGAGCTGAACAGTGCATTTTACGCACACAATCTCACTTATTGAAACGTTTGAGTGTGTTAATATGCCGCCAACTGCTATAATGTATTGTTTAAAGGTGTAAAATTGTAGCAAAAGTGCTACATTTAAAATGAAAAGCTACAATGCTACATAAATTCTAAAATGCCGGAACAAAGTATTGGCACAGCGAATTTTTCACAATATATGCAAAAATTTTCATTCTAATATTTTTCAGCTAGTTTTGTATAAAAATATGGTTCATTGAACAACCAAAATAGACATAAAAATATAATTCCTAAACTTTGTGCCAAACTCGCAGCCCATTAAATTCTTGGTTGATTTTTGAGAACTTTTTTTGTTGAAGGTGTTTTGCATATTTTCCATATAAAGTATTTTCGAAAAAAAAATTTTGTATGGAAGATACTGTGTGAAAAAAAAATCAAAAAATCAACGGCAATTCCTAGCTACTTAAAACTTGCACATTGATTGGGCTAGAAATCTGCATACTCAAAAAAATCTGATTAAAAAGTTGAAAATTTTCATGAAAATTTGCTAAATTTTCGCGAGTTTTGTACAAAGTTTAGGAATTATACTTTTATGTTTTTTGTTGTAGAATGAACCATATTTTTATACAAAACTAGCGGAAAAATATTTGAATGAAAATTTTTGCATATATTGTGAAAAATTTGCTGTACCAATACTTTGATCCGGCAGTGTATGTATACATACCTATAGGTACATCATATACTGATGTAAGCATTACAACAGTTTTTATGAAATATTTTAAAACTTATAAATGTTGAAAACGTTAAGTATGTTTTTTCGTTGTGTTTAAAATAAGAAGTGTAATCTTTTAATAAAAAGTAAGTTTATAACTACAATGTGTTCATATAGAGGGTGCTCAAAAATGTCATGATCTAACTTTGGGAGTGTATTTGGGACTCAAAAATAGGCCAAAATTTCTAAAGAAATGTTCCCCATTTTGGTTTCTTAAGGAGATAATCCAATATTATTATCAGGTAGTTACCGTTACAAAACCCCCTATGGTGTCCACTAAAACGCTTCAGTCACTGACCGACACCAAGAATGGCTATGTCTCGCACATCTTATCGTAAGCAATATCCCGATATTGCGTTTGTGTATGGTTTCTGTAATGATGGTTACGGGATAACAATATCGGAATATCACCATAGAAACCAAAACGGGAAACTTTTTTTTTTTAATTTTTGACCTTATTTTGAGTCCCTAATACACCCCCAAAGTTAGATCATGAAATTTCTGAACACCCTGTATATATCATGTGTGTATACTCAAAAAATGGACTGACTTATGTATTTTCATATGTAACAAAATAATACCAAGCGGTATTCTCTAAATATAACTACAAGCTTCAAAAAAAAAATGTGGCTATGTTCTGATGTTGTTGTTGTAGCTGAACAAGTCTTTGGGCAGAGCGCTACAATCAAAGTAAGTCAACATTTCTGTGCGAAAATTTGTTGACGGAGCATTTGTCATAAGCCTAGGGTATCTTCATACTCTCTTGTGTTGAATCCAGGTGGATAACATTGTTGTTGCTTTCACATATAAATTTTGTTACAAGAGAGCAGAGGCCAAACAGAGCGAGCAGAGAATTGGCGAATCGGCGGTTTGTATTAAGTCCAATTATGTATTCTACTAAATGATTTTATAAAACGTATTTAATTCGAAAAAAGTCAAGTCATTAATTATTTTATGTGCGCATAAACATATCCTGTCTAACAGTTACTTTAGTAAAATGGCAAAGGTGAGCGTAGAAATCTCTGAGGCACATTATAGAATATATTCTCAAAAAACCGGCGCAATCCAAAAAATCAACTACGAGATCTAGTTTAAAGAGTTTGTAAGTTGATAAGCTTACAACGAGAATAGTACAATAGCATCGAATCAGCAAAATTAACGGAACTTAAAGCAAATAAGTTTTGTATTTTAAAATGTTATATGAATATAATATTGATAATTTACACCTAAAAACATACCTTAATTGCTTTTGTATTGTTGTTATTGCACACATACGCCGAATACCAGGTTCAGGCAATGTAACTGATGTAAATGCGCGGCCTTGGCTAAATACATCCGTTACTTGCGTTGGTAGATAACTAGTCACGGTTTTGCTGAGATATCTAAAAAGGGAGTAACTGAGAGTATGAGAGAGTAGACATGGGGTTCAGCGACGTCAAACGGTTGGATAATGATGACAATACATGAAAGGTGGCGAGGGTGGCGAATAAGGATGTAATGTAATGGTTGATATTGGAGTTGTTGGTTGGTGTGTTGAAAACAGGAGGTGTGGATGTTGAGAACAGGTGTTGTGCGAATTCGAAGGAAGAAAAGAAACATAAAACAGATGAATATGTGTGTTTAAGATATATAAATACAACAGAAAATAAAAATTAGGAGGTAAAATGAAGTTACACTCAAAACTAAAAGAAGAACCAAATAAAAAGGTAACGAACCCCATCCAGTCATCGGTCGATTGCTTGGATTCGGCCTGTTCGGCAGCCGATCGATCCAAACGAAATATATGTATTGTTTCGGTATTTGAACTAGAAACTAAATATCCAGAGCACGTACTAAACGAAAGCGAAGCAATAGCAACACAACGCTTAAGACCACGCCGCAGTTCAAACAATTTGGTGCCATCAAGCGAAGAGAAAACTCGAATTACAGTACCACGCTCGCTAGCTGTAGCAATTTCAGTACCAGACGGGCTAAATGCCAGTGCTGCTAATGGTGAATCGTGAGCAGGTATCATCGTTTTAGCATGTAAATTTATAGCATCGAAAATCTGAACTTCGCCAGACGTATACCTTCCTGGATATGCTAAATAGCAGTGCTCGGATGAGGAAGAAAGCGCACAGAGACCATTTGCATTACATGGAGTATCACGTATTGTATGAACAACTTTCATATCCTGGATATTGTGAATGTAAAGACTCTCTTCTAAGCAGACAATCAGACGTTCACGGTTCAATTTAACAGCTAATATAGTGTTTGAATATGAATAATTGCAAATTTCGCTCTGTTTCTTAAAGTGGCAGACCTAAAATTTTAAGAAGAGTGATTGAATAAAAATAAAAATACATAATTAGGAGGACTTTAATTTACCTTTAATTTTCTCGGTGAACGTTGAGAGACAATCGCAACCAAAGAGCTTTCGAAAAGACGTTCGATAAGAAATATCTCATCCGTTTGGCAACTGTACAATTTATCCAAAGTTAAATCAACCGAGCTAAGACTGTATAAACTATAGCCCGATTTTGTAGCTACTGCCAAAGATCTAATTGGATCGGCAATGTATGATTTAATTAGTCTTTATTTTCTTTTGAGACTTAGTAATTCAAGTACTTACGTGACATTTTGATTAAAGTTCACAAACACTTCGCCAGCTTCGATGTCGGGACGCCCCAATAAATTCATCATTATCGCACGTTTAATTAGTTAAACAGGTTTGAGAGGTTGAAAACTAACAACTCTGGACTTTATCCGAGTTAATTGGTGAACTGTAACGTTTAAGATTTTATTAGTAAAATATCAGTAGTTATCTCCAATGGAAATTTAAATACACTTAGGTCTCTTTTTATGCGGTACATGCGTTCGTCAGAAAGCCGTTAAAAAAAAATCCGCATAAAAAAGTTCTTTACTTTCATACAAAAACAGGGAATGCGTTCCAGCATTTTCAAAAACCACATAAATTCAGATACTCCGTATTAAAAATTCTAAAAACCCGAATAAAAAATTCAGTGAGGCAATATTAAGCAAAAAAACAAACAAAAATTATTTCTTCATTTCAACACTTATTATTCCATATAAAACTGAACATTAATGAAATAAATAAAATTTTATCTGTGTTTATCAAGTAAAAAAACCACAATGAATACACGAATTATGTAATTATTTATCAGAACATTGTCTCTAACACACTGAAAAAAAGTCATAAAAACTCTCAAAAAAGCAAAATCCCTACAGCAAAATATCAGACTAAAATTGCAAAGGCAAAAAAATGTGTACTCAAAAAAATTCTAGCACTTCCGAGAAAAAAGTTTGAAACTTAGGTGAAAATTTATTGCTCTTTTTTGAAGTTTTCTACAAATTGTTAAACTTGGGTTTATATGGGGTTTGTTAGAGAAAGAACTGTATTTTAATTGAAAATTCTCAAAAATAAACAAATAAACATAAGTTGCACACAATATCACTTCGAAATGGCGTGCTATAGATATGACCGATACTGTATGTATGTATGTGAGTTTGAGTTTCTCTTAACCCTGCAAACATTTGGAGTCATAAATGAGTCTTTAAGGAGTCCTATTTCGGAGCCATCACGCTCATAATGAGCTCATTTAAGAGTCCGATATGAGGGTGTTTCCCTTAGTCCGAAGGTCGACATATATGAGCTTAAAATCATACATCAACTGAGCCTCAATAAGAGTCATATTGGACCCTTATTGGCCTCATATACGGCTCATTTTGGACTCTTTTAAAACAATTCTTGGGCTCATATATGAATCATTTCAGACTCTTTTGGAGGCACTGTGTTTGCAAAGGCATTTAGCAAAAATTCCTTTCAAATAACATACATACATACTTACGTGCATATACANATTTGCAAAGGCATTTAGCAAAAATTCCTTTCAAATAACATACATACATACTTACATACGTGCATATACACATTCCAACTTGCATTCAGTAGCAGCAGCTGCAGCTAAATTGTGTTCATTTTTTTGTTTTCTAATTATTTTCAATTTCTGTATAAACAACTTTAGATATAAATTTTAAATCTTTTTGGTTTTTATATTGGAACAAGGAGCTGGCTTATAACTTGGATCATATATGAATCCCAAAAGATTCATATAAGAGTAAACCATTTTTTGTTTTTGAAACTCATATTTCTTACCTATCTAGGACTCCTTTCGGACTCATATATTCTGAACGCTCAGAATATATTTGGGGATAATTATATTGTTTGCAAACGTCAGTCTGACTCTTAATGGTTTTACATTCTAATGTTTTTATCATGCTCAAACGTTTGCGATACGATATACTGCGGTGCCTCATCTTTCTTATGGCAATCTTTTTATTATGAATACTTTAAATCGTATAATGTGGGGTAACAATTAGCGAGTTGAATTATTTGCTTTGCAAGACTCTATCGAGACCTAACCTCCAAAAAGATGTAAGCGACACTTTTTTCAAAATTTCCTTTTTGATGCAGAAATGTTTATGGAGCATCTGCATCAAAAATAAAATTTTGAAAAGAAGTCCCTTACATCTTTTTGGCGGTTAGGGCCCGCTGGTTAAAATAACAAGTTAATTTTCAACGCATCACATCGCCCCGGCATATTGCATCTGCCCGTATGGCATGTTTGCTCATAGTGTGCTAATACTTCCGCCATATGCTGTATAGTCTTGTGCCGCAGTATACTATATGTAATTCAAAAAATCCATTTTTTGAGTGCCCCTAAGTACAGTAATGGTATTGAGCAACGTATATCGTACGAGATTGCACCCCACAGCCTCTTTTTGAGGTAATTTTTAAGAATCTTGTTTTAGGGCTTCTTGCAATCAAACAGAAAAATTGTAGCAGTTTTACCATAGAGATTGCATGTTTAGGCAAATAACAAATAGAAAATTTGAAAACTAAAACCTATGAACGGAATCCCCAGGATGATCGGTTCTATGCTCACCGGATTGACTCGGAGCACAAAATCCGACCAAGGACCATCACTACAGCAGCAACCCCAACCGGTCTCCGGTCTGCTCCGTACAGTAGCATAGAACAAAACTTCAGACCCGTGTTTGCGGCCGAAACAGACACCGTTCCTTGAACACAGTCCGTTGCAACAGCTGCAATAATCGTTGCCACTTAAAGGCATGTTCTGGCCTCAGGGCATCTTTGTTGCAACAACAAACAACAAATCCGTCACCCCACACAATCGAAAAAATATATTTTTAAAATATTCAAATGTTTCTATGAACTGTCAAATCAAATAAAAAATTGTGAAAAGAGTTTGCTACTTAATCGCTGCAGAACATTGGCTATTTATAGAAAGGTTCGGCTTTGAAACTAGTCTTTCTATCCGTTATAGCAGTATGGCTCTGGCTCTCGTCCATTCAGATCGCCTGCCCACAATGAGTGAAATAGACAGTTTAGGGATGGAAACTAGCCCTTTCCACTCACCCAGGGGTTGCGGCTAAGGAAATTACACTCGTGGATCGCATGTCCTTCACGTGATAAAGTATGGGGCTGCTTGGACTATCTTCCAACAGCATCCAAAATATGCTATTTTTGGTTATTTATACATACATAAACCATCTTGTAACTTAGAAGAAAAATTGTAAAAGATTATCTAACATGAAGCTTTAACTTTACTTTTAATGTATACGTGTTAATTATGCAATACATATGTGTGCGTCTAAGCTTTAACCAAAACCGTGTAAATCACAGTTTCAAACTTTAGGTTACAAAATTTAGGAAATTTCAACAAATTTTCATCAAAATTTCAACTTGTTATTCTGAATTTTTAGAAAATTTTTGGGTACGCAGTTTTATAGCCCATAGCAAAATTGTATAATGAAGTGCAAGTTTCAAACGGCTGAAAAATCGCGTTGATTTTTGAAAATTTTTTTGAGGCTACTTTTTTTGATTTTTTAATATAACAAGCGCAATTTACAAAAACTTAAACAAAAGTTAAAATTTTAATGAAAATTGTTGAATTTTCCTAATTTGTGTATAAAGTTTGAAACTGTGATTTACACGGTTTTGGTTAAAGCTTAGACGATATTTTTATAAAATAATAAAAAAATGTAGCTCGAAAAACATTACGAATATTTGAAGAAAATCAACACATGGCCATTTGTTTGAGTCACTGTATATACGAGTATATATAGGTTATATGCCCGTAATAAATAAATAAATAAACACCCGCCAAACCATAAACCAGTGGACAAACTCCTACTAGGCAACGCAGGACATCCACTCAGCAAAGATGGTTCTGCTGCGTTTGCACAGGCCTTACACACCATCATGAGTGGAGTACTGATTTCACTACAGTCTGCTGCTCAGCCGCCACGCAACACTCAGCTCCGTCGCCAAAAGTAGCCTAACAGCAGCCGTCCACGCATATGACGACGCTCGACGTAACCCTAGCGGCACGCAGTGTGGTAATTAAACTTTTTTCGTGACAAAATCTAATACATATCTCAATAACGAGAACAGCTAGCGAAATAAGTTTAACAGCATTTTAAAACTTTAAAGCAGAGACCGAAAATAATTATTACTCTAATATTTAGAATCAAAAACGTCGCCTTGTATGAAGATAAATTTTTTTCGTCTTTGTATAATAATTATTTACGAGAAATATCCTTTTTTGGCTCTCGGGACGTTTATTTCAAGACGAATATGATTTACGCCTTCTCATAATAATTATATGGGCGTTTTATTTTATTTTTTTCGTCTCAAGGGACGTTTATTTCAAGACGAATATGATTTACGCCTTCTCATAATAGTTATATGGGCTTTTTATTTTTTTTCGTCTCTCGGGAGGTTTATTTCAAAACGAATATGATTTACGTCCCACGTTTTTCTTAATAGAATTCGTACACTTAAAGCCGATTTCGCAAAATTTTTTAATTGCAATTTAATAAACATTTAATTTAAATTTAAATTTGTATTAAATTTTGCATTTAACTTTTTCTCCTTCCACCAATACACACTTGTCATAATTCAGTATTTCTGGCATAAATGAACTACCCAGTAGAAATCTTAAGCATACAACATCGCTGTTGGAGGCATGAGCTTACTGCTGTGTATACATGCCAGTATAAATGAACCTTCATTTCCATTTAACACGCGTGGTTTCTCAGAGCGTATGCGTACCTTAATCATACACTTGTACTACTGCTGTATGCATATGGCTGTATTACATACAAAAATGCATTAATGGAACATTAATGGATTAAAGCATTCTTACAAGATCCCCATATGTAAATGCTACTTTTCTGATACATTTTAATATACGGGGACACATTTACTCAAAAACCTCTGGACCGATTTTGACGAAATTTTGACATAAGACATAGATATTTGGAAAAGGTTTAAATTATGTTAGTTTGCTATCCGGAAAATACCTATTAAAAAATTAATGCAATTAAGTTAAATTAATTACTTCAATATGGGTATCAATCGAAATGGTGTTGAAAAGGATTTATTTCTAAGCAACATGTAAGAGGGTTGCCATCTGTTTAAAAAATTCAATTGAACATGAACATGGGAATTAGGTACCTGGAATACATATCACAATATGGGACTTCAGAAAAAATAGGTTTAAGAAAGTTTGACTTTGAAAATTTTTTGATGAGGGTTGCCAACTATTTAATTATTTAATAACTTTATTAAGTTATTACAATATGGATATCAATCGAAAGAGTTTTGAAATGCTTCATTTCTAAAGTGCATGAAGTAGGATCGCCATCTGTTTAAAAAGGCAAACTGAGCTTGAAT